TCTCATGTCAGGGCTCTATGATGCTCCGAGTCCAGGAACAACGCCCACGGTACCCACCAGGGCCTAAAGGTATCATAACGGGCAGTGCGCTGAGCCATCAGTGCTTCTGACCTCATCCTTTGACACATTTCTGCAGACCAATCCCGAATTGAGTGAACAGAGGTGGAGTTCCGGTATCTAGGAATCGGGGCTCTAGACGCATTTATATAAAATTGAAGCGAGGAATTCTTCACCTTGGAAATGGAACCCGGGAAGATGGACGGTAAAGCCATTTTTGGAGTAAATACTATAGCTTTCGCGGGAACCTTCAGGAGTGTGAACTTGTGGGTGACGCAAACAAAGCTGCCGTTGGTTAGCAGCCCGTCACTTCGCACTAGCGATGTCCCGATACCGGGCAAGGGATTGTCAGTGGGATACAACCCACTGACACCCATCATACCATAACAATAAACCGAAATAATAAAGTAAAACACAACAACGATTTTGGAAAAAACTATAGGCCACACCCCTTTATTGGGATTTATTCAATAAATAGACTTTAACCTTTATTACCAGACAAAAGCCACTGCTACCCTTTAACAGACCACCATGCTTAGTCAGCAAGACTCAAGGAGCAATAACTTACAACAACCAAATTCTAGTTTACCAACCACTGTCCACCCACAAAGTGGGTGGCATTACCCAAAAGCCAGGTGACTAACCTGGCCCCACCCCACCACCGCGGCCTGGACAATCATATTTTACAAACCAGCACTGATAACGGCGATGCCAATACCTAATAAAAGGTACGAAAAGACCCTACCAAAGAGACCTCGAATGTAACCCTCCAGTCCACAATGGCGGAACGAGAAGCCACCAACACCGAGCAGTGAAAAATAAACTGAAGCCCCGGCTTAGAAAAAGCCATAACAACCCTGGCCAGTCCCCCCAGTGGGAATTACCAACCAGTTCAGACAAAACAGCGGAGATTGCTGACAAATGCAACTTTGAGTGCCGCCCTCACTTAGAACAAAGTAGCATATTTAATAACCAGCTGCTCCCAATGCATCCCTAGGGCTGCCACCTGTCCAGGATTCACCCGGACAGTCCGGGTTTTGAATGCTGTGTCCGGGTTTCATGGCAGCAGAAACCCGGACACAAGATGTCAGGCAGACAGGGTGCAAACAAAATTGAGATAGGGGCTGCTGGCCCCCCACTGAAAATAGTCTCAACTGTGATATTTGCATATGAATACGCTACGACTTGTTCTTCCCAAAAAATGTCAGCGCGCCGCTAGAGTGTTCGGGTTTCGCGTGGAAAATAGGGAGGAGAATGACACAGGGAGAATGACCCAGAGCAATACATTCCCGGCCCTCTGATCTCAGCTCACCCCTTTCTTATGATGAAGTGAGGGTCCGCTTGGAGAGAGGCCCCTCCTCTGACGCTCAGGCCAGGATAGCAGCATGAGGTCCGCTGCTCCCCACTCACTGTGGCAGGAGCACTGGCGTTGTGGGTGTCTGATGGAGAATTGGGCTTCCTTGGCCTTTCCTGGTAGCTCCTCCCCTCCTCTGGCCTATGTTTTGTCACTACAGATCTGTGGTCCTACACCCCATGTCTAGGGTTGCCACCTTTTCTTCAAGCGAAACCCGAACAACACAGGTGGCAACCCTACCCATGTCCCTGACAAGTCCTAGTGGCAGCCCGGTCCCAGTGGTGATGTGACACTCAGGCACTTCTGGTCTGGGCTTACAATCCTCCGACCCGGCAGTCCCTTGGAGAGTGATGACCTCGCAGACAAAGATCTGCACCACGCAGCACTGCAATGCTCAGATCCTCCCTAGTCACAGGTAACAGTCCTAATGCTGCTCCTAAAAGTCCTGCTACAAATCCCAGACCGCCTGCAGGTAAATGAAGAGCTTCCTGGCTGACCTCAGGTATAGGCCCCAATGCTGTACACAGGGTGAGGCTGACACATCAGGAATGGGAGACACAAATGCAGGTGCAGGGGCCACAGATGACATGAAAGAGGCAGCTGTAGTCAGGAATAGTTACAAATGTCTGAGCCGGTCCATCCATCAGGAGAATCCGCCCTCTGAAGTCACGCTGAAGTAAATGATCCATTCCGGGCTGTGAGCAGGTGAAAAGATCCAAAAGGGAGACTGGAGATAATCCAGAGGTGAGTCCAGCGGGCAGTCCTGAGGTAACTGCTGACCCCGCCCACTGACAGGAATGACTATAGAGGGAAAAGGTTACTCTCATTGGTCAGCTGTTTTCCCACCAAAACTCTGTCAGCAATCCTGTGCTCAGCTGACTGAAGGTCTGCCCAGCAACTGAGGTAAATCTTCCTAGCAACAGCAGGCAGCTTGTAACCTGAAGGGCAAAACAGAAAGAACCAGCAAAGCCACCCAAGAGAAGCAGGTACATGACAGTCACCACACACCTCTATTGAATATAATTTATTTTAATAAAACACATGAGTGATCGGGGGGCCACAATCCCACGGGGCCACTTTTCTTATTTTGCTTAGTATGCAATTGAATTGCTGGCCTGCCCTGTGGCAAGTGTGCTTTCAGAATGGACATTTAGTGCAATGGGTGGTTTTGTGAAAAAAGATTCATGTTGGTGGATCCCCCATCCATTACCATCTCCTGCCACCACTGCTGGCCCGCCATCCATTACCATCTCCTGCCACCACTGCTGGCCCACCATCCATTACCATCTCCTGCCACCACTGCTGACCTGCCATCCATTACCATCTCCTGCCACCACTGCTGGCCTGCCATCCATTACCATCTCCTGCCACCACTGCTGGTCTGTCTCCAGTAACATCTCCTGCTGCTGACCTGCCATCCATTACCATCTCCTCATACTTTTGGACCTTTCTGTTGCCTTTGACAAGGTTGACCATCTGCTTCTCCTTAACAAACCCCAATCCCTTGGCCTCCAAGACTCTGCTGTCTCTATCTCAGCGCATCTTCCGTGTCACCTACAAGCCTTCCTCCTCCTCTCTTCTTCCTCTTTCCGGGGGAGTCCCCCAAAGCTCTGTCCTTGGGCCCCTTCTATTCTCCATCTACACCTCCTCCCTGGGTCAGTTAATAACCTCATATGGCGTCCAATACCATCTCTATGCCGATGACACTCAAATATATCCCTAAACTCCTCAGCTCACCCCCTCTCTCCCCCTCATTCATATCTACTCTACATACTGACATATCATCATGGATGTCACACCACTTCCTCCAACTCAATCTCTCCAACACTGAGTTTATAATATTTCCTCCTCTCCGTGTCCCCTCCCCCGACTTCTCCATCACAATCAACAGAACTACAATCAACTCCTCCACTCAAGTCATGGTGCTCGGAGTAATCCTGGATTCTGAACTCTCCTTTCACCCCCACATCCAATCACCATCCAAATCTTGCCGACTCAACCTCCGAAACATTTCCATGATTCGCCCCTTTTAAACAAACAAAACCGCAAAGCTTCTAATTCTCTCCCTTGTAATCTCTCCTCGACTACTGTAACTCCCAAGTCGTTGGCCAACCACTAAACAGGCTCCTCCCCCCTTCAGTCTGTCATGAATGCTGCTGCCAGACTCATCCACCTTACCAACCGTTCAATGTCTGCTGCCCCTCTCTGCCAATCCCTCCACTGGCTCCCACCCCCCACCCCTCTCTACCAATCCCTCCACTGGGTTCCACCGACCCTCTCTACCAATCCCTCCACTGGCTTCCATC